ATGTATGGCTTGTGTGGTGGTTTGAAAGAGAATGGCCCCTACAGACTCATATGTTTGGAAACTCAGTCCCCTGTTGGTAGAACTATCTAGAAAAGATTAGGAGGTGTGGCCTTGCTGGAGGAGATGTGCCACAGGGGTCAGGCTTTGAGGTTTCAAAGGACCAGCCATTCCCAGTTAGCTCTCGGCCTCGTGCTTGTGGATCAAGATGTGAACTTTCAGCTATGGCTCTGGCACCATACTGCCCACCTCCCTGCTGCAGTGTGACCTATCATGATGGCAGTGGACTCTGATCTTCTGAAACCGTTTGCCCCAAATAACTCTTCCTTCTGTAATGTCACAAGCCCGCAAGACTGCACAGCGCGTGCACAGCTGACTGACCGGTAGGCAGAATCCACGGGAAGTGTATACACATATCCACATGGAGCAACCCCATTCTGCAGAGCTGCAGGAAATCTTGTCTTTTGAAAAAGTTGCTGTCGTATCTGTGGGAACCTTGTGAAGCCATGATTCTTCCTTCGAAATGGGATTCATTCCCAAAACACCTCAGCAGTGTGACTGCTGCACAGGCAACAGGGTGACCTTGCTCCATTCCCCCACACCACGAGGCCTTGGAGCAATGGTGTTCACTCTTTGTTCTAATGGTCAAATTTACATAAAGTCAATCCCACAAAATTACCCGCTAATAGACCACGTGGAAATTTCTATAGAAGACAGGCACCGAGCAGGAAGGCAACATGCCCCACCTTTGCTAACAAAAAACCCTGGACTTCCCCAGAGCTGGTTATCACAAAAGAGATTTGATGAGGAGAATGGGTGGATCCAGGACTCGGGGATGTTTAGTAACTTTATCTAATGATTTGGAATGTCAGGTACCTCCCCTTGAATGCTGGCTCTTTCCTGGGTGGTATCACCTGTTCCGAAGTACAGCTTTGTCAGGTTCTACCTGCCCTTTTTGTGATTTTGATATGCACATTATTATTGTCCCTTGCTCACGGAATTTTCCAACTATGTCTGTAAAAACAAGAAGCCTCGTGGGGGTCACCTCTTCTTCTCTTTGTTCTTCTCCTCGGCACCCTTTCACTTTACTTTCTCCCCTTGTACGGAAAATAAAGAACATGCAGAGGTAACAGATTTGAGCTAATTTTTTACCCTCAGATCCTCGCCTGCCACAGACATCCAATTCTGAGCCCTGAGGGGGTACTGAGGCTGGTACTCAAGGCCCCCAACCTGTAAGTTACCTTCATCACGGGATCTCGTCGCTGCAACAGAAAAGTAACTAAGACAGATTCACACAATTCGGGACCTCTCCCACTGGGCAATTTTGTGGCGCTAATATTGGTGTGTATTTGTATAAAGCTAGATGGATAATATACCAGGCAGTTAGGCTGGGTACACACCTGCACAGTGTGTTGCTGCACTGAAGACTGTGGGCTATTCTAACACAACCTTAAATGTTTGCGTTCCTAAATGTAGCCTTGGCATCATGGCATATACCTGTTCTCCCAGCACCTAGGAAGCTGAGGCAGAGGCTGGTAGATCCTAAGTTCATGGCTAGCTATAGAGTAAGACCCTGTCTCAAATAAATACGTTTTTAAAAAGAAATCAATGTCTGGCACTGTAAACCTAGTGAAAACACACGGCTGAGGGAGTCAGGCTCTGGGAGGGAACTTGCTGCTTGTTTAGCTGAACTGGCACCACGTCAGACTACTGTGTGAGCATGTGTTTATATCCATAGCCGAATGCCTCGCTCAGAGTAAGCCCTGCTTTGCGGCAAACAGGTGGTGTTTGGCTGTTCAGGGTGCCGAGGAGAACTGTTAGCTGTGTGCGCTGTCCTAAACAGAAGAGGTAGGCCATGCCGTCTATGGCTCAGCCAACCCAACAGAACCGAGGCAAACGAACTTAACAGGTAGACAACAGGAAGACGGGTGGTTAACACCATCTGGGCCCCGTGCAGCCATTGCAATCATGAACTCAGCCGCCAGGGTCACCTTTACTGAGCATGCCCAAGGCTGGCCTTGCTCATGGTCAGTCTTGGGTGAGGGTGGGTTGCCTACCTGCCAGACCTTGGGCTACCAATAGATTCTGGGAGATCAGGAGCCCCTGTTTTCAGTTGTGCGCATTGTTAAACCCATTCGGGCTCTAACTGGCAGCTCCAAATCCATGGTCACACAGACAGCCCTGGTTAAATTCATGGGTTCACGAAGCATAACATGGCGTGACCGTGGAAAAGCCATCTGTAGGGAGGAGGAGTCTTAGCAGTGGTACGAGGGAGGTGAGAGGTGTCGGGTGGGACTAATCCAACAGCATTATATACATTTATGAAGTTGTCAAAGAACAAATCTAATTTTAAAAAAAATTAAAAAGAAGAAAAAGGTTTCAATAAAAGGTTAAAGGATATTTGAAACACAGGCAAACTAACTTTCTAGTTTTATTCCCTCTGTCAGTTTCACAAAAACTTTACCCGCTGAGTCCTCTCTCCAGTTCCAGCCTTGAACTCTTGATTCTTCTGCCTCAAACTCCCAAGTGCTAGGAATGCAGATGTGTATGGCCACACTGAGCTTCAGTGGTACTGGTGAGCAACCTCAGGACTCCTTACAGCTCCAGCCCAGTTCTGTTTTTGAACTGTTAAGATAATGAAATGCAGACAGTAGTAGCTGGCTTGGATCTGTGGGCCCGGGGACCAAGAGAACAAAGCCTCCAGCATTCCCCATAGCAGAGAGCTAACGCTGCACCTCCCTGACCACTCGGACAAACTCAGCCTTCTCGCCAGCCCTGCTTCACAACACTTTTCCTATCCAACCTTTAGTTTCCTCTTTTTAAAACTATCTCAAAGCTGTACATGGTGGCTTGCTCCTGTAAACCTTGCTAGCTCTTGAGAGCGAGGGCGACCACTTTAATGCTAGATCAGCATCACCTCCAGGCATAGACTGTCTCCAAAACAAAGCAAAACATTATCTCAAGAATGACTCAATAAATGCAACCACTCAACTAAGAATTCTAGCAGCTCAGCAGCCACGTTTCATTTTGGAGGTATTCCAGTCCCGGCACGTCACACCACAGCCTGTGTCACTGTAAACTTTTCTGGATAAAATAGGCGGGAGTTTTTCTCCTCCTCCTCCTCCTCCTCCCTCACCATCTACCCTCACATTTCACATGACGTCTTTCACCTTCAGAATCATTCACTGTTTCATTTGCTGGGTTGGGGCACGTGGGTGCCATCGCGTGAGTGTGGAAGTCAGTGGTCTCCTTCTGTATGAGCTCGAGAGATCAGCCTAGGTATAAGGCTCGGCAGGAAGTGCTGTCACCTGCAGGATCTCACAGACCCTTTGAAGATCTTAATTTGTATAGTTGAATAAAGGTTTGGGTACAACCTTACAGTATTTGAAAACAATATTGGTGTGTATTTTTTAAATTAAGAAGAGGATGTCCCCAGAACTGGAGTTCCAGAGGGTTCTGAACCACCATGTGGGTGCTGAGAACCAAACCCTGGTCCACTTGCAATAGCATCAAGTGCTCTTAATCTGAGTCTTCTTTCCACCCCTAAAATGAACATTTTTAAATCAAAAGTACTCTCATAATTTAAATCAGAAAAACTTAACACTTTACTATTAATTCAACATTTAACAAATAGAAATTGGGCACTTATTACATTGTGAAGAATTATGCTTCCTCTAAATTTATATAGCTTTGTGATTTATTCTACTGCTGCCACTGAACCCCAGCCCCAATAGCTATGTACTTTATTTTACTACTCGAATAATTGTCTACTAAAAAAGCATCTAACTGAAAGATAACTTGTTCATAAACTTTTTATTTGCCTTGGAGAAAATGTTTACTCAGAAAGATTGTAATAACTGTTGCTTCACGGCAGATGTGGTGTGAACAGCGCAGGCCTGTCATTCCAGCATCCTGGGAGGCAGGAAGAAAGGCTGCCGTAACCCACGGAGCCACACAGGAGTAACACATCAGCCGGGGCTGCATAGCGAGACCCTACCTCGAAACAGACAAAATAAACACACACAAAAAAAACGCACACAAACAAACAACACAGTAGTTAGATACTGTGGCTTTCGAATGTGAGCTACAACCATTACTCCAAGACTTTAGCTCTTTCTATTTGTAAGAGAATTTCCAGGATGTTCACAGAGATACCGTGACGACCTCAACTCTCTGGCATTTTTTAATTTTCCATTTGCAGCTAACATATGTAGCTGCTTCCAACAACTCCACTCTCAAGTGTGCACTGCAGTGAGTGTAGTCAGTTCTGCCCACACACACGTTTGCTCACAGATGTTCATAGAACCATTATTCATACAAGCCACTGAGAGACATAACCCAAAGGCCTAAAACACCAACGCAGAGGTAAACAAAATGGTATTCCACCTGTGTATTTGATCTGCCACTGAAAGGGATGAAGTTACTGATGAGTGAGTGAAATCACATAAAAGAGCCGTATGTTGATTGATTCTGTTTATATGACATACTTAGGACAAAAAAATCTATCACGAAAAGCAGATAGCTGCTTCAGGAGCTGAAAGGGAAGAATGGGGAGTGACGTGGGCTTCTCATGGGAAACAGACAGTGCTGTGACTGCACAACTGCATTAATGTACTAAATCCATCAGCCATACACTGAGGGGCATGGAGAAGCCGGGCATAGTTCCAAGGTCAGAGGTGCTGTGTGCGCAGGAGGCTCCGAATCCAGCCATCAGCACCAAAAGAAAAAGGGAGGGAGGGGGATTAGTATGAATGCTATCTTATGAGAATTCTGTTTCAATAAAACCGCAAGATATATGATTATTAGAACTTACAAAGAATTTCTAAACCAATTTACATTCTACTAAAAGGTTATAGGGTCCAACATTCATACAGAAATATATATTTATAGATGAATATTCATATATAAACATATATGTATGAATATGTATCATTCTGAAACTTGTTTTACAAAAAAATTATCTCATAACATCGCTTTTGATAGACATAAAACAGAAGGCAGAATAATTTTTAAATGTAAATATATTTAAAAAATTAAAACACCTAAGAAACACAATCTATATACATGAAAAAGTAAGATGTTTATATGCATAATGACTCGTAGCGACACGGCCCGTGAGCAGCAGTAGTGTCTATTCTGTGCACATTTGGTTTAACACATAGTGGTAGCTCACTGTTCTTAGGGAAATTATGTAAGGTACATATAGCATATTATGAGGATAGAAGACTATAAATGGAAAATTAATGCCAAGTAGCAGTATTTTCTCTAAAAACAAACGTTATTAAACAGATGATCTTAAACTAATAAACAAAATGAGCTTATTGTATTCAGTTCAAGATATATAGTCAAAGTTGCATAAAAGTACAGGTGGCCACTTAACAATGGTCAGTTGCTAAAATATCAGTAACTCAGGTTATTGGGATTTCCACAGGAGATAAACTGTTATTCATTTTCTTTTCATGAAGAGGGAGGCTCTAAGAGCATTGCACCCATGCTCTTAAGAAATGCGACAGCACACGGGAGGTCACAATGGTGAACCACACGCATCAGTGCTTTCTTCTGCCGGTACCAGCCCGAAGGAGCATTTCTGAAGGTGACCTTGTCTTTTATTCTCCCCCACATATTACATGTACAGGTAAGAATTTTAATTTCTACTAAGGAAGTCTATCACACTGATCATTTAAAGACACACACAATAAAGTACTCGGATGATCTAGTACTTTACTAGAGGTATATCTACTGACCACAAAACCAGCTTTTACTTACAAATGAAATACTAAAAGTTTCCGATTTGGGAGAATGAAATACAATACAGTGAGTGATTTTTTTTTTTCTTCAGCTCTGCTGTAAAAATCCACTCTGCCTATCTGAGCCGTCTCTATCCATGCACTTTAATGAACCCTCAGAGGCGCTTACACAGCTCTATACAGAATGCACATCAGTCCACTGCCATTCATTTTATATTTTCAGTATCTTATCAAAATATGGGTAGCAAGGTTCTTCTCATTCTATGAGGCAGGGAGATGCTTCCTAAGGATCTCTTTGGATGATGAAGATATGACATCTGGGAAGGACACATCAAACTCTATTAACAGGTCACCACGCTGGTCAGGGTTTTTTGGAAACGGCAGCCCATATCCAATAATTCTTCTCCTCATCCCAGGTTTCACAATATCACTGATTGACATAGGTATGTTTCTTCCATCCATTGTTGGCACATTAATTGAGCAACCACACAATGCCTAAAGTAGACCAAATAAAATGAAGTTAACAAACTTCCAAACTGGACAAAACAAGATCTTACTGGGTGGCAAATGATAATACCATGAAGGTGATATTTTAATTTCCAAAAGGATTACAACAGTTATAAAAATCTTTTTCCTGTTCTAGAAAATCCATTCAAGAGAAGCAAAACCAGATGATACCAGAGACAGAATAGAAAGAAGAAGAAAAAAAAAAAGGAGAAGCAACAGATGTCTTCCACAGTGCCTTAGGAAGCTAACAGTTTGAAGCCGTCACTATTCAAGGTGCAGGAGTTTGAATGGAAGAAAAGGAAGAACTTAGAACTTAACAGAATTGAGACCTACTTCTCTAGAAGGCCTGGAAGTGTCTATTGGATGCTTTACAGTTTCTGTGGAACCACTGAGGGACCACGAGCCAGGACTTCACCACCAGAAATGCACAAGGAACTCGGAGTAGAGCACGAACAGGAAGGTATGGTAGAGGTCTTGTGACAGAAAGGACACACACATCATCCCTTATCGACTGGGACCTGCAAGTGCCTAAACTAAATAAAGTCTGCACTGCATCAGGCTGAGTGACCACAGAGTGTAGCTCTGAGTCACAGAGAAACTATACAAAGGAAAGGGACACTCAAGGGAAGAAAAACATATTGGGGGTGGAAGCCACATTTCTACCTTTTAAGATAGTTTGAAATACATGGTAGGGATAAAGAATTTAAACAGGAACATGACCCCATTTCATGGATTACAGCTGACTCTGAGAAGCAGCGCACATAAGGGCGCAGTAAAGGGCTGCAGTAAAGTGGTGGTATTATACATCATGTTATGTATTTATTACACTTTAATACTTGTTATATAAATCTTACTCCAGACTAATCATTTCAGAACTGTATAAACCAGCGGTTCTCAACCTGTGGATCGCGGCCCTTTATGTGGCTGGTCAGAAGGCCCTTTCACAGGGGTCTCTGAAGACCACTGGAAAACACAGGTATTTAATTTATGATTCATAACAGTGCCAAAATGATTGTTATAAAGTAACAAGAAAAATAACTTTATAGTTGAGAGTCACCACAACATGAAGAACTGTATTAAAGGGTTGCAGCAACCTATTAGGAAGGTTGAGAAACACTGGTCTAAGTGGATTAAAGAGATGGGGTTTCCAAATGCAGCTCTCACAGACCACAACCTAAAACCAGACTAGAGCTAATCCAACCCGGGCCATGGTGTAGTTAATCAAGCTTGCACTAAAACTGGCATTTAAATAGTTAACATCAGCAGTTAAATTTAGAAACTGTGATGTCATCCCTAAGAGATGCAGTGGTAGCACTTCCTAGAGAACTGTTATGAGGAATGAACCCCACAGAGGGAAGTCAGCTCCCGTAGGAGAGTTCCCTACAAGCAATCAGCAGAATCACAGTCTTACTAACTTACCTCCCGTAAACTGATTTTAGCGGTATAAACTATATTTGATCCATCTCTTTTAAACTTGGGATGTTCTTTATCTTTAATAATAAAAACAATGTCTGCTGGGATACTGTTTGGTGTTTCGTCGCCTTCCCGCGGAAAAGTAATTTTGGTGCCTTCTTTCCACCCTTTTTTAATCTCGATGGTGAGAATTTTGTCCTCAGATCTGTAACTCCTTCCATCAGGGTTTAATCTTTTTCGAGAGATCTTCATCCGTTTGGTGCAGCCACTATATATTTCTTCAAGAGATACTCTAAGTTCATGAATAACAGGAGGGTCTTGCTTGAGACGGGAGGGTCCCACAGAATTCCTGTCTCTTGGATATCCATTCATGCTGAATCCAAAGGCACTAAAGGGATCTCCATCTATCTCCATCTCTTCAGAATCTCGACCTCCACCCATCCGTCTTCCAAAGAAAATTTCAAAGGGGTTGGAGCCTCCAAAAAAGGCTGCAAATGTGGCATGAGGATCCCCATGAAAGGTGTACCTGAAGGTACCTCCTTGTCCATCAGTACCTCCTGCTCCTCCTTTCAACCCTGGGGAACAGATAAGCATGATTAGGAAAAGGGTGGCGTGCCAGACAGGGGACCATTTGCGATCTGTGTTGCTAATAACCTTTGGCTATCACTTGCGGCCAGAAACAGCATTATAATTAAATGGAATAGTTACACAGCTTCTGAAGAGCCACCCTAAGTTAGAGATTTAGCTTTCAAATCAGTCCTCCAAATTTTTAGCTTTAATAATTTCTTCATGAATCTTTGTTTCATAATAAATATGAAAAATAAAAGGAAACCGAGAATCCCTTACCTCAAAAGCTACTGTTCCAGAATACTGAAGTAATACAAACTTAAAAGTTTGAAAGATGTGTATTAAGAGGAATTTAATAATCAACAAATAACCTAAATCCTTAAGTGCCACTATAACTAATTAATGCAATCAATGATAAGTAATATAATATTCATACTAAGTAGCTCTATTTCATTTCTTTTGCTGATTTTTTAGATTATTATTATTATTATTTTAACTATGTGTAGGCATGTGTGTCTGCATGTGGGTATGCACACATGAGTGTAGGTGCCCATGAAGGCCAGAGGCATCAGATCCCCTGCAGTTAGAATTATAGACGGTTGTGAGCCCCCTGACATGGGTGCTGGGGAATGAGCTTGACTCTCAACTGCTCACCAATCTCTCCAGCCTCCAGTCAGATATTTTACTGTTTAAGAACTAAAAGGAACTAATTCTTGGGAGCAAGGGATAAAAAACTCTAATAAAGAAGACAATATGGAAAATGGTTTTGTGTACACTAGACTATTATCATCTAAGATAACAAGACTCCTTAGGTCTACCTTATTGCATCCTGACTCAAAGCAGTTAAACCCAGGACTGAAATCGAGAGCCTCAGGTCTTTCTAGCATGTAACCTGGGCTAGTTATTTCTGTCTGACAGCAGTACCATGACCTTTTGCCCAACAAAGTAACATGTAGCTGACAAAGATTACATAGCATTTCCACCACATCCCCAAACAAGATTCAACTAAAACCCACAAAACAACAGAGTGATGTTTTAGGAGGCCAATCTTGGCAAAGATTTCTATCATTGGAAATGAAGTTTCTGGAGAAGTTTTAGAAGAATTCCTAACCAAAAAGTAAGGAGGGAAAGGAAGATTACAAAACTATGAAAAACTAGTTTAAACTGGGAGATTCTTACATCCCAAATTGATTTAAGGGCAGGGAAAATATGTTGCTAATTTTTGCATTGCTCATACACACAGGGTTGAAAATGACAGGCACTCCAGTCTACTGAATGAAGAAAAATCAACCAATTCTTAAAGTCCTCCTAAGTTGAAACTAAAAAAGGTGTTCTGAGGATCAGCCTAAAGACAAAGCAAAAGAAAAATAACATAAACAACATGAGATGTAATCATCGTAAGTTCCAAGAAGACTTAATTTTCATATCTTACTGTATTGTTAAAGGGTACACACACACAGACAGGCAGACAGACAGACAGAGAGACACACACAGGGTTAGGGGGAAGAGAGGGAATATGAATGATAAATCCAAATAGTAGTTGGGGGTTTCCTTGTAGAAGTGGACTGACAAGTCTGGGGGTGGGCGTGGTTAAAGTGTAGCTCACTCAGTCTTCCTTTTATAATTTTTGTTAATACAATTGCAAGTCTAAATGTGAAAGAGTTAATGACAGACTTTCTTAGATGACAGAGTAAGTGTGGAACTCAAAGTCATGACAAGATAACTAAATGAGGACTTAGTTACTTCCATCACTGTGTCCCTCCTCCCACAGATCTCAGAAAGTAACAGTTACCGGTTGGGTGAATGAGCTTGCATACCCTTAGCTCTCTAAAAGGCAAAATCTAAATGCGTAGGGCACATAACAGAAAAAAAGAATAACATTTTCAGTATTACATCATAGGTTTGGCTTTTCTCTAAAACCTCTTCCCTTGCTCCCAAAAATGGTAATTCAGTCCGTATTATAGTCTGTGAGAAAATTTACACACAGCCTGAAGTGACTTACTCATCACAGCCGATAAAGATTCAGCCTTGGAATTTTTCTAGACATAGAATGGTCAGCTATGTAGGTCAGATAAAGAATGAAGCCACTTTAATAATGAAAAAATTCTACCAAAATGCTGCTGTAATATGACATGAATGTCTTGTTGTCTTCTGCATTGCTAAACACTTGATTCTAATAAGCACATCGTTGGCTAAATAGTTAACCTTAATTCTGTACACTGCAACTCCCAATAAAAACAGACAGTATCCAGCTGGATTCCCTCTGCACTGAAATGCTTTCTAGTTTCTCATTTTCAGAAACGACCATCTAGTCAGGGAATGGACTCTAATCCCACTTCTGCCTGAGCCTGAAATCCAGTAGCCAATTTAATATGCAAAACAAATACATTTGGGGACACTATTCATAGCAATGACTTCTATTAGTTATCTGACAAAAAATTCTGAAAAAAAGAAATACTGAAGAATTGAATTTACAAAGGAGAAATGATGGGGTTTACTAATCTTTACTTCAAGGAGACAGAATGTATAAAACTTTTTGATTTGTAGCAAGACTTGAGAGCTATAGAATGAGAGCCTTTCCATAGTTCAGCTCACAGGAGCCGAGTAATTTACATATCTTTACAACACTGAAAACAAAGAGGTGCAGCTGACTAACTGCATTAAAGAGAACAGTAGACTAGATGAAGGTGAATATACTGAAGACTTAAGTTTGAAGACATAAAAGAACTTCCAGCAGCCAAAGAAAATTAGTGAGTAAGCAGTAATCAACAGGCAGAGGAGGAGGAAGGGGAGCCAGAACACCAGAGCCCTCCAAGGTGTGTTTTGAGGGAAAATTTTACTTATTTATTTTTTACATCTTAAAATTGCATTTATTGTGGTCAGCCAGTTGGTCTGTGGGCATATGTGTGTCAGGGGATGCATGCAGAAGTCAGAGGACAACTTTCAGGAGTCTGTCCCCTCTATCCATCATAAGTCCCAGGGATTGAACTCAGGCCAACAAGCACCTTTACCCAGGGAGTCATCTCTCTGGCCCAATAGAGAAAGAGAGTTTAAGTGTTTAACACAAACTTCTGCTCATGTCTGCTTAGCCAAACCTAACACTTTAGGGCAGAGAATATGTCAGAATCCATTCTTAAATTTCTGTAGTTCTATGATTATTTTCAATGTTTCAGGTGTGGAGGGACCTGATCTATTATTTAATATGCAAACTACATGACAAAGCTAACTAGTATGCAGTTCAAGTGTAAAGAACTTACATAGTTTTACCACTGCCACTACAACCCATTTGTGGAGTGCGCCATCATTCTGAAGCGTTCTCTGCTTCTTACAGCTGACACCTACCTCTCCCTCTAGCCCCAAGCAATCTAGCCCAGCTATCTCTATAAAGCTGTCTTCTCCAGACATCTCCCATAAACTGAGTTACATAATATGTATAGTCTCTTATATCTGGGTTCTTTCACCCAGCATTTTTTTCAAGGTCCATCCAGTTGTAATATATTTCATTAAGTGGGTACTTTTAATTGTTAAGAATACCTCATTGGGATATTATATATATATATATATATATATATATATATATATATATATATATTTGTTTACTTACTAAACCAGGTGATGCATACAGGGCCCTCACTAGGGCTGCTGTGAACTCAGGCACATGCCTTTGTGTGAGCAAATGTCCCCCCTTATAGATTCCTAGAAATAGAACTACTACAGACCATAGTAACTTTAAAATAGAGCTATTTTATTCATTAAAAAAAAATCTAAATTTCAAATGTTAAAAGAATTTCACAGCATGGACAAATCAGATTATCTCATACACTTCCCATAGTTCCTTATTTCTGCTCTCCTAGTTCTAAGATGACAATGGGTCGGGGAGGAGGCTCTAGGTAGTAAGTCAGTATTTTTGCATTCTTAGAATTCAGTATTATCTTACTACCGTAGAGGGCTATGGACCCAGGACTATGAGTATAGACAATAAGAAAAAGAGAAGAAAAAAAAAAAAAGCTCCTTCATGTCCTCACACAGTGTCCCTACAGGAGATGTTCATGGGGAAGGTGCTAAGGATTGAGAGCAGGGGCTCCCACACACTTGACAAGTGTCAGGACACTGAGCTACCCTCCCGCCCCTAGAAGGTTTAAACTACTGTGTGCTAGTCTACCAAACGGTAAAGAAATGAACCACTTTTCTGTGAGGGAGGAGTTCTAAAAGCTCAACAGTTTTTCCTTCCCCGGTATTTTCAAACAGCTTCTAACTCCATAGCATCTCCGGATACTGTGCTGCAATGCTGTAGACAAGAGTCCCGCCTCAACACCTTCCCTTGCTCACAACACTTATCTGTGCTAGGAACACCAATGAAAAAAAGATTCAGGGCAGACAGACAATGCTGATTTAGGCTTTCAAAATTTAAGTCACTTTGGTAATGATAAAAAAAAAAAATAAAAAACAAGCAAAAAAACCAAAGTAGCGTGATCGGGGATCTCTCAAGAAAAGCACTGCCAAGGGGGCCTTAAAGAATTAAGTGTACCATTGAGGACTTGAAAACTCTAACATCAAACATGTTTAATAAAGCCTGAATCCTACATGGCGTAGTCACAACAGAGATGTGCTTGGAAGGAACCAATAACCTGCTTTTACTGAGGAGCTTTTGTGGGAATTCACAGAACCTCTCCACCTTCTCAAGAGAAGCCAGAGACCTGGTGATGTCTGGAGATCCTGCTGGCTCCTGAGTCAGTCCCATCATGGCATCAGTGGGACCATGGGGAGAAGAGAGAGGCTGAACTGTCCACTACTTGTTTTTTTTTTCAGTTACTCATTTTGTAAGAACCTGACCCTGTAGATCCGCACCACTACCAACGGCAGCAGAATAAACCTTAATTCTTGGTACTCTGACCAAGAAAAGAAAGCACGAGGAAAAGAACCTCCCTACTACTGCATTCAACTGCCAATTTAGTTTGCTTAACGCAAAGTGAGTGAGTGGTCACTGCGTGGCTGTTTGAAGGATTTATTTCTGATTAGGGAAATCTGATGTTTAAATGCTATAAACAAAGGGAAAACAAAGCTGTTTCCATAGCCACCGTGACTTGGAAGACATTTGGGGAAAAGTAATGAAAGAGAACATTAGTCCCAGTTTTAAGATTATGAACTGAAGCAGTGCTACTGCTGACCGACGGTGTCGAAGTCCTACTTGGGGTCACCGGCCATGGAGATGCTAGACAAACCTGAGCTAAGGCCGGAATGGTAAAAGAAGACTCTCAAAGGTCTTCCGTGCACTGAGCTCACTAAGTTCTGGTCTCAGAAGGCAAGAAAAAAATATGACTGAGGGAAAGGGAGCTGTCACGCTTTCCTGTTCACAAGGCAGGGAAATTCTGAAAGGAAAATAGTTAACTAAAAGAAAATCAGTCATTGCTCTAACTAGGTGGCCATTTTAGGTTAAAAAAAAAAAATTCTGAGATCTTGTTCTCCTGGCACACAATTACTGTTTACAATTAAGCTAAAAAACTTGTCCTGGTATTTTATGACATCAGGGAAATTCTTTCTTCTCTAGGCAGATTGCCAAAAACAACTAGAAGCTAAATGCTTTCTGCGTCTAAGACACACAGCTCCGTCTTGCTCAGTCTCAACTAGCATTGCTCTACAAAGGCAAAAAAAACTTCTTGCTTTTTTTCTGAATAAAATATAAATGACACAGAATTGAACTGCCAATCTTACGCTTTTAAATGACTGAAGATTCTATTAATTTTAACAAAAAAATCCATTAAGAAAGCAAAACAGGTTGCATAAGACTCTTAAACAATTCATTCCTCAGTATAGGAACTTAAGGCTTCTTTAAAAATATAAGATGCTAAAACTCTAAGTCTGCAGTAGAATATATATAATACAATATTGTTTTTAAAAAACTCAAAAGACAAACATGAACATTCCACTCATAGCTCACTCAAATAATCAAGAATTAGACCTTGTTATTACCGGTTATTTTTCTTTTTATTTTAGATATGTCTGACTATCTAATTTAATGATAATCAGAAAGCTGAGAGACAGAAAAAAGGTAAGATTCGGAGCCAAGGAACAGAAATGTGCAGCTTACCTTCTTCCCCAAACTGATCATATATCTCTCTCTTTTTAGGATCACTCAATACTTCATAAGCTTCTGCGACCTCTTTAAATTTCTCCTCTGCTTGAGGGGATTTGTTCTTGTCCGGATGAAATTTGAGGGCTTGTTTTCGGTAAGCCTTTTTAATATCTTCATCTGTAGCTCCTTTTTCAATTCCCAAAATGGAATAATAGTCTTTCCCCATTTCGAATGCCTTGAAATGAACTTAGATTTTCCTTTGTAAAAGAAAACAGTGTCCCCAGTCTTAGCAATACAATGATTCCGAAAGAATAAAGCAAGCTGGGTGTCTTAAAAGTTAAAGCAATCAGCGATTGGGCTCAGCTGTCTGGAGGCAGCAGGCAGCGTCTCTATTAATTCCTTCCCCAGCAGCTCACTTCCAGATAAATATACACCACACCAGAGCCGGCCTCCTTCTAGACCCTCCCATTTTCACTACGTGTCTCTGTACTTTCTAGAACAGCAAATGCTACAGGACGTCACTTTCCCAGCGGCCTCTAGGCCAAGTGCTGGGCTGTGTCCCTCCTCCTCCGTGATTAACTATTCCCTTTCCTCTGGCTCTACCATTTTATTTCCTGTGGATTTAGCAAACCAGTATTTCAGCACAGAATGCCGTAACTACAGGTGTAGTTACTCCATTAGAGGTAAAAAGGCAACAGAAATAATTATAGCCATTAGGTATCCCACGTTAAAGTAATTATACAGACAGACAAGCCCTGAGCTTACTGGAGGTGTTCCAATCTCAAGTTACCTGGCTGTAAAGTATGCAGAACTAAAATATGAGGTGTTTACACTTAAAGTCTTCAAAGAAGAATTTTCAAAATTCCTAGGGTCTATCAAACTGAAAGGTGAGGAAGTCACTATAATAAAATTTCACATGGCAAAAAGGCTATAATAAAATTAAAAAGCAGAATTTTAACATAAGTGACTGGAGAATGGAGAATGATTTTAACTAGTTTTTAGTAATATTTAAGAATTCACTATTTGTAAAAGCTCACTGTCTGTGTTCACTACTAGTGAAACAGATCTCATTCTGAGGGTCACTGTTTCCCTACTGCAGGGTTAGGAGAAAGGATCAGATTTCAACAGGCTCAGTGCAGAGTAACCTAACCCTGATCAACCTGAAATCTGAACATGCTACTTACAAGAGGCAGCACGGTAACAACTACATCCAAAACACATTTCTCCTCATGTTAAGTATGTACTTACTGACAACCATTTTTGAAAACATGGGGAAATTTTCTCCCTTTTTAATATTCCCTGTTATTATTAATATATTTTTTAATTCTTTAAAAATTGTTGCTATTTGCTGCAATTTTTTAACTAACAAAGTTTAAATCATATTTACATTTATATGCATGTGGTGCTTTCTCCTACAATGTATCTTGAATAAATATGAGAATTTTTTTTCTATGTAGAAAACTCATCTTTTATCTCTTAGATGGGTTTCCATCTTTTCTCAAAATGCTCCCATTTCTAGGTGAACACTGAAACTCCAGGCCTTCGGTATAGTTACTAGGCAAGCCTTCCACTACTGAGCTGCTCCAGCCACCATTTCTGATATAATATTGAAAAGATGGGTTGCTAAGACAGTGTCCAAAGAAATGCACTCAGTACATACTGTATTTAAAAACCCTCAGTGTTTGGAAACTTGAAGGGGGCGCAGCTAAAAGGAAAAGGAAATGGACATACATGCTAAGAGACTGAAAACTTGGTGGCAATGGAACCGCCCCTGCTTGCCAACGCTCTGATGACTCAGCACTTCTGCAGGCTTGCTTTTGCTGCACCGCCATGACTTCCTAGGTCTGAAATCTCCCACAGCACCTTGCTGCTGGGAATCTCTCATGTGGCCTCCCACAGTCAGAGCTGAGAGAGCTAGCTCACATTTTTTCATCTACCAAGAAATACCAGTATCAAAAACTTTTTTTCAAATCCAAAGAATCTGGGAGAAAAAGTCACCATGAGACTGCTATTTTGAAAATGCACACACCACCATACTAAATTATAAATATCTACTTGCTAATATGTGTGTGTGTGTGTGTGTGTGGCTCTGGCAGAGAATATGAAAAGAAGAGAAACTACAATTAGTAACTGACATTCTTTTCCCCCTTAAAATTAAAAGGTTAATATACTTTTGTCCAACTATTAAATTAGAGCTTGCACTTATGATTTTCACTTTATCATTAACTGGTAGGATGCCATGAAGCTGTAATTCTCTCATTTTTATTATAAGTAGCGAGGCCAGATGTCTCTCTCCAGTGATCTTAGTACTCAAGAGCATGAATTTACTCTCCAAGTCTATCAAAAAGCTCAAATGTGATTACTTTATCAAAGCTAACAGCAACCAAATTGTTGTGCACAACAGTATGTAGAAGGGAAATGCCACTCCATTTTGTCTTTAATCAAGTTTCCTTGCGTGGAATACTATGCTTTAGTAATTACAGAAAAAGTATTTTTACACTGAAGATAGCACTTAAACCCCAAAGCCTAGAAGTGTAACACATCATTCCACTGACTCCATCTTCTTCTAATTTGGTATTCCCGACAAACAAAAACAAATTTCAGCTGTTGTGATGGTTCATGCCAAAATCCCAGCACTCTGAGGCAGCGGAGGCCAGGCTAAGGTGCAGGGTGAGCTGGAGGCCAGTCTGAGCTATGAAAGAAACCCGAACTTTTTCTTCTGAGTCACAAGTCAGTCTCAGCTTATGGTAAAGTACAGAGTCTTGCAGGACTGGGCTGACTTCTATGTAGAAGAAATTAATTTCAAATTAGGTCACTCAGAAGGCTGAAGCAGGACGATAGCAAATTTGAGGCCAGCCTGAGCTACAGAGAGAAACCCTATCTCAATGAATTAATTCAATAATCCCAAACACTTGAGAACGAATTACCTAAATATTTTACTGATACACTTGTTGAAAACGTTTTCTATAAATATTTAATCTTTGAACAGGTCATGTCCAGTCCTGATGTTTCTCATGGTGAATTTGTATAAGAAAAGCATGACGTCCAGTTCCCCACACTTCCTACCCAAGAATAAGCAGTCTTAGTCTCTTAGATTCCTAATGCTTCTGATAGTCTAAGTATGTCCAATAGTCATTAAATCTGCCAAGGTAGTCAGGTATGGCAGTGTACCATAATTTCAGAACTTGGCAGGCTAAGGCTGGACAACTACTACTGAGCTTAGTATAGCCTGGGATGTAGCTTAAGAAAATAAAAGGGGGGCTGGATAGGTGGCTCAGCAGGTGAGAGCACTGGCTGCTCTTCCAGAGGTCCTGAGTTCAGTTCCCAGCACCCACATGATGGCTCACAATCATCTCTTATGAGATCTGATGCTTTCTTCTAGCGAGCAGGCATACATGCAGGTAGAACACTCTATACATAATAAACAAATCTAAAAAAAAAAGAATTGAGTGAGTGGTTAAATGCTTGTCTGCTATGCAGAAGGAGGGAGGGAGAGAGGGAAGGAAAGAGGGAAATATAAGGTGGTACTAAGGACAATCTACAATGGTTTATTTTTTTAATATTTATTTATTTATTATGTATACAATAATCTGTGTGTATGTCTGCTGGCCAGAAGAGGGCACCAGACCTCATTACAGATGGTTGTGAGCCACCATGTGGTTGCCAGGAATTGAACTCAGGACCTTTGGAAGAGCAGGCAATGCTCTTAACCACTGAGCCATCTCTCCAGCCCTCCTACAATGGTTTAAAACAGTCATTTAAAGCAGATTCTGGAGTCAGGACTTCCTGGGTTGAGATTCTGTGTGGCCTGGGATCTAAATTCTGTGTCTGTTTCCTTATCTGTCAGTTGAGTTAATATCAACTTTGCAGGGTTACCATGAAGATTAAACATGATGTACAGTATTTAAATATCGTTGACACTGTGAAGATTACTTTTATGATTTTATTATGTGAAATCCTACAACCTTCAGGAAACAATCATGCCATGTGTAACACTCTTACCTATAAAAAAAGTAAAAACCATGCTGGTGGTGGCAAATGCCTTTGATCCTAACACTACAGGGATGAGGCAGGCAGACTTCTACATTTGAGGCCAGCCTGATCGACATTGAAGTTTCTACACTAGCCAAGGCTACAATAGTGAGACCCTGTCTAAAAAGTCAAAATCATTAAACACTCCACACAGCTGGTATCTGTCACACTTTAAATCGGATTTATTGATTTATAAGCAGGGGTCTCATTGTGCTACCCAGTCTGGGCTCAGGGTCCCAGAGTCAGTCAGATGTGGTACACACCTGTAATCCCAGCACTTAGGAGAGGAAGGCAGCATGATCAGGAGGTCAAGACCAGTCTTTGGTTACATAGTAAGTTTGAAACCAGCGTAAGCTACATGAAACACTGCCTCAATACAAAAGAGCACCCAAATCAAACTCCTTTCTCCTCAACCTCCAGAGTAGCTGGGATCATGGAAACACATCCCTTTGCTCAGCAAATACTCTCAAAATATGTAGGATCGATTCTGGAGTCAGAGGATCTCCCCAGCCTCAATTTCTGTCTATACTTCACAGAGCTCAGTCACGCAGGATCCTTCAAAGTTGTCCATTCTGGCTAGAAGACAAGCATGAAGAAGCTACAAATAAAGCTGGGCATTGTGGTGCACAACGTCTATTCCAGCCCTTGGGAGGAAGAGGCAGGGAGAGCTCTGAGTTGGAGGCCAGTGAGTTCTAGGACAGCCAGGGCTATGTGGACAGACTCTCTCTTAGCCCCTCCCCTCAAAGAAAACAAACAACAACAAAAACAAAATAAAAATACCCTTGAAAACAATGACATTTATGACATATACACAAATTTTACACTATTTTAAGCAGTACAAACGGCTTTGCAGCAGTAGTCTGCTGATAAAGTCTGCCTTCACCCTGGATTGCAGTTTGCAAAAACATTAATCTGCACAAACCAGTAACTGCCAGACTGACCTCAGAGGAGTCAGACATTCCCCATGCTAGCATGCTGCAAAAGGTGTCTTTTCAGACTTTTATATCTGAATTCCATTCTTTTCTTACACAGCGGAACTCTTCCAAGCCTTTCTGATAACAGCAATTATATAATGGCAGTTTAGAAAATCCTTTGGTATGCCCTCTGATGTCTACGTTGTGTGTGTTCACGTCTGATATTTAAGCAAGAGAGAAATTTTCATAAAGCTTTTCTATAACCATGGTTTAACAACAAGCTATGATACTTTTGAATGTTTTTATTTTGGGTTTGAAACAGGGTTTCTCTTCAGAGCAAGTGGGCTCTGAACTCATGGTCCTGCTGCCTCGGTCTCCTGCATGCTGGAATTGCAGGCCAGAGCCATGATGCCCAGAGCTGCTGTGATAACAATACTTAAATTCTTCCAATATTAGCATGAGAAGAACATTATTGGCCCAGCACACACCTGCACTATGATGGGCTGGCATCTTTAACTGAAGGAGCAGGGCTGGGTACCACACTCTGTAAAGGGTCCGGAAAGACAAACAGCCTGACAAGCAGTGCTTACTGACCTCTTTGATTCTGCTGTTCATGTGTCATGCAGCGGGGACGCTGCTGTCAACAGACTGAACCACACAGATGACAGCAATTACATAAGATTCTGTCGCCTAGTAATATCACAGCCATCTTGTGTTAACACGCTGACATTCACACAATGACAAAATCGCCCATGTCAACAAGACGTGTGATTCTGCTAAGAAGAACTGTATTTGGTTCTCATCTTGTCCTTTACTCTGCACAAATACAAACTGCTTCCAAGTCTACAGTTGACAATTAGGCACAGTAAAGTGTGGTGAAAGCAAGTGAACAATTTAATCACCAAATAAACACTACTCGGTCGGGGCTGGAGAGGTGGCTCAGGGGTTAAGAGTATTTCCTCTTTCAGAAGACCCAAGTTTGGTTTCCAGAACCCACGTGGCGGCTCACAATCATCCACGTCTCCAGTTTCAGGGTATCCAATGCCTTTTTCTGACTTCCATGGGCACCAGATATGCATGTGGTACATATACATACACGTAGGCAAAATGCTCATGCATGTATATTTTTTAAAAATACTAAATTGAGCTGGAGAGATGGCTCAGAGATTAAGAGAACTGACTGCTGTTCAGGAGGTCCTGAGTTCAATTCCCAGCAACCACATGATGGCTCACACCCATCTGTAGTGAGTTCTGGTGCCCAGAACACTATATACATAATAAATTTTAAAAAATAAAAATACTAAGTTATTATATGGGCTATAAGACAACTGAAATATAAAAGACTGGAAATAAGGGTCTAGAGAGATGGCTCAGTGGTTAACAGCACTTGCTGCTCTTGCAAGAGGACCCGCAGGATGGTTCACAGCCATTTGTAACTCCAGGTCCAGGGGATCCGATACTTTCTGACCTCTGTGTGTATTGCACACACATGGTGCACATACAGACATTCAGGCAAAATACTCATCTGCATAGAAATAAAAATTAAGATGGACCTTTAACCCCAGCCTTGGGAGGCAGAGGCAGAAGCAGGCAGGTCTATGTGAGTTCAAGGCCAGCCTGGTCTACAAATCAAATTACAGGACAGACAGGGCTGTTACACAGGAAAAACCCTGTCTCAAAAACAACAAAATAAAAATAAAGTAAAATAAAAATAAAAATCTTCAAAAAAATAAAACCTTGGAAAGGAGTTGGTTCTGCATACCTCGCTTCACCATTTGGTTTCTGATCTGAGTTCTAGAAAAGTCATGCACTAAGTCTTGAGTCCGTCATGTATACAAAGACTAACACTTTCTGCCTCATGAGAAGGACCCAAGAATTAGAAAATTGGGGCTGGAGAGCTGACTCCATGGTTAAGAGCACAAACTATTCTCTTGCAGAGGGCCTGAGTTCAGTACTTCCCAGCATCAATGTTGGGTGGCTTATCCCTGACCAGAACCCAAGGGGTCTGCTGCCTCTGTGTCTACACAGACGCATTCAGCTGTCACATACTTACTCACAGATTCACATACACGATTAAAAATAAAGCTTTACAAGAGCAAGAAAATACATGGAAGTGAAATACTGTACAGATATTAGCTGTTGTCCTCCTTCCGCGCCGACTGGTTGGTATGGAAACGGCTTCAGAATAAACATGAGGGCTAGGGATGAAGCTCCATGGTAGAATTTGTCTTGCATGGCAAGGCCCTGAGCACAATCTTTTGGGAAAAAAAAAAATATAAGAGTAGGAAAAGAATGTGAACAATGACTTGAAATTCTGATAAATTCTGAAAGAGAAAGGGAAGGGAGAGGGTTTAACATGCTGATCAGGAACAAAACGTCCGGATGAAGAGATCACAGCGTTAGCCTACAGAGGAGGAGGCTGGCCAGGTAAAAGTACGGGAATGAGGACTGGTCAGACTGTTCAAAGTTTGTTATTTTGAAAACTGTGCGTCCACAGTCTTCAAAAGGCACTGCTTCGGGGTTGCAGAGGCGGCGCTGTGGTTAACAGAATTCCATCTTCTAGACAATCTCAGTTCCGTTTCCACTACCTACATCAGTCAGCTATAGTTACAGCATCAGGGGATCTGACATCCTCTTCTGGCCTCTTCAGGGACGGGCACACACATGGCACACACACCACACACACACACAGACACACACAGACACACACAGACACACACACACACACACAATTAGATAAAACAGAAATCTTATTTTTAAAAGGCTACTTTAAGGTCAGCTTTGTAGGTATAAGTACTTGCTGCTGAGCCTGAAAACCTGTTTCAAACCCCAGGACCCATACTGTGGAGAACTGACTCCCATAAGCATGTGGTGGCACACAGACCCCACGTACACAAACACAAACATATTTTTTAGGTACCAGTTCAGGTAGCTTGCATAGCATAGAAAAGGTTCTAGCTTCCATTCCCAGTGCTGAAAAAAGAAAAAAGGAAGGAAAAAAGCTAATTCTGTCCAACTGTTTGGTCATCCAAATATTAAATGACAATTTATTTTGAAGCCTGTGAAATTACTTTTTCGTTTTCTTAGCAAAGTAATTTTAATGAACATTTTATTAATATTTTAATTGTCCAAAAAGCATTTAGATGTTGAACAATAAAGGTCAGTAAGAGACAGAACTGTGTCCGGAGCAGTTCTCCAGGGGCTGCTGCCTCTCGTCTAAAATACCCAGCCGTCTATCACTACAGCTATGTAATTCCAAACATTTTCAATTTTTGATACTGTTATTGCTCAATTTTATAATATTTTCCTTATACGAGTGTTTCTCAATCTTTCTAATGCTGCAACCCTATAAAACAGTTCCTCATGTTGTGGTAAGCCCCAGCTATACAATTATTTTCATTGCTATTTCATAACTATAATTTTGATACTATTAAAAATTGTAATATAAATATCTCTGTTTTCCAATGGTCTTAGGCAATCTTTGTAAAAGGGTTGGTCAACTCTTGAAGGGATCATGACCCACAGGTTGAGAAACACTGTCCTATACAAAGCATAATAGAATATATACATCTAAACTGATTTTAATTATCTTCAAAGAGATACAAAGTAAAATTTTAAAAACTTAAAGAACAAGCCTTTTAAAAATAACGTAAAAGTAAAATTGTTTTAAGTAGCTTACTAAATATCAAAACGAGCAGTCAGGACTGGCGGCACACCTTTAATCCCAACACTCAGGATAAGGAGGCAGGCAGATCTGAGTTTGAGGCCAGCCATTGGGAAACAGTAATCAGAAATAGTCCCTGCTTCAAAAATTTCGTGAATGCGAATAAATTTATTTTTCTTTTGGGGAGTATAGAAATTTATTCAAACTGGGACATTTAAATGTTTCCTAATATAATTTCCAAGTAACAATTAGTCCTTCTTTATTACTTTCTTTTAATAGGAAGTCACCCAAAGTTTACTAGGAACTTCAAAACAAAAAAGGAGCTAGTATACTTACCTAGCATCTTGTGATCTACATTATAGTGTTCCTGGAACGGGGGTGGGGCCTCCGTGGGTAAAGTCCTGTGCAGATCCCCAGCACCCTGTCAAAGCCAAGTGGCATGTACCTGTAAGATGGGGTGTGTGGGAGGAGCTACAGAGACAGCAGATGCTGGGCCCTTGCTTGCCAGTCTAGCTGGAAGAGCTAACTCCTACCTCTAGGTTCAGTGAGATGCTGTCTTAAGAAATAAGGTAGAGAGTTATAGAGAAGACATTCCACATTTACCTTTGCCACACACAACACACACACACTTTTTTGTTTTGCATTCGATATTTACCTCTGGCAGAGACACAAACACATGCATTTTTTTGTTTTTACACTTATTTTAAACATCAATTTAGGAGGCCAAAATAAACTGGGATTCTAGATCATTTTATATGTCTTGATACACTGATGACGCGCTTATAACATGTATGTTAAAAAAAATCACTGTGACATGCAATCCACATACAACTGCCAACAAGACACCATCTATTTTGGGGGGACTAAACCTTTGAAATCAGTGTGTAACCACACTTACAGCGTATCCTGCCACCCTCAAAATGTTTCATACCATTTGTTTAAAAAAAGGATAAAGGGATTTGAAACAAAAGCCAGTACTTTGTCTTTAAGGTAGTGGTAATGGCTGTATTTACACATGCTCAGGAGTTGGGGATTTAGCTCAGTGGTAGAGCACTTGTCTGGCAAGAACAAAGTCCTGGGTTCAGTCAGTTGGGGCAAAGGGGAATGGGGGGAAGGGGAAAGACAAAATTACAAACAAAACAAAAGAACCAAATCAAAACCAAGGTACCTTCACATGCTTAAGCAAGAAATACTAGCATGACGCTCAAGGTAAATTAACACTAGGAAACAGACTGGTGTGGCTTTTCATTTCTTCATTCCTGGAATTTTTTTCCTCCATAAACAGGTAGAGAAGGAATTAAGTGGCTGTGCATAAAGTAAGAACTGTAGCTTCGCAGGGTGGGGATGGTGCATACCTTTAATCTCTGAGGCCAGCCTGGTTTGCAGAGCAAGCTCTACGACAGCCAAGGCTATACAGAGAAACTCTGTCGAGAGAGAGAGAGAGAGAGAGAGAGAGAGAGAGAGAGAGAGAGAAAGAGAGACAGAGAGAGAGACAGAAAGAGAGAGAGAGCTGTAGCTTCTCAGGCAAGTAGTACAAGGAAAGGATGTTTATGACCCGAGAAGCAGGTGGAGATGGGTTGCCCCATGGGAACATAGGGCTCTTAGCCAATACTGTGGCCAACTGGCTGCCCAGCAGGATATTTAGCTTGCTATGTATTTACAGCTTTAAAACACTTAAATTTAAACAGTAACAAGTTTTACTACAAATCATATTATACTCATGCAGGTACAATCAAACTGATGCTACTAAGGAGACTTAACCACAACTCAAAGATTTATTGACAGCTACCAAAAATAAGCAATATATTCATAAAAATGAGCAAACTCATGCTAAAGAAATTCACAAGCCTCTATAAAACTGGATAACTGATTGCTTAATTCCAAATACAGTGGGCTCAAACTTGCTTTTTGCCTAAAGAGGGCAGATTTTAAAAAAAAGACATCAAAAATAATTGAAATAGAAATTGTGTAATTTTTTTTAAAGATTTATTCATTTATTCTGTATACAGTGTTCTGGCATGTATGCCTACAAGCCAGAAGAAGACACCAAATCTCATTATAGATGGTAGTGAGCCACCACGTGGTTGCTGGGAATTGAACTCAGGACCTCTGGAAGAGCAGTCAGTGTGCTCAACCTCTGAGTCATTTCTCCAGCCCTGTGTAAATGTTTTTAAAGTAAAGTCTTTATTGGCCAACAAGACAGCTCGGTAGGTCACGGTGGTTGCTACCGAGACTGACGGCCTGAGTTCAATCACCAGAACTCGCAGGATAGGAGCAGAAGCAGCGCTCTGACCTCCAACATTCATGCCACAGCCCACACACCTATCAACACACACAGAAATGAATGTAATAAAAAACAAACATAGTCTCTCGGTTATCTGGACTAAGTCAGCATATCCAGACAACACTTAGGAGACCCCACTGGATTAGACCATTGTCTGTGTCGTGACTGTATAGAAGGCACAGTCACTGGCCCACAAAGGTTTCCACTATAAATACAGAAGGTACTTACTATCATGGCCTTCACCAGACAGTGGTGGAATTGAGCAGTTAAATTCAGGACTAGATGGCTAATAATGCATAAAATATTTACTGACTGGCCATTAACAGGAACGTTTGCTGACCCCCACTATGTACAAATTATTTCTCATGAAGGACAGGGCAGTATTTTAAAAAGCACTAAACAAAAAACCCTGAATTTTGCAAAATTCTTTTGACATATACTTTATATAATAAACTCAGCCTAGGCATAACTGCCAGAGGGAACATATAATACATATAGGAATATCTGGGGTGTACGCTGAGCTGTTCTCAAAGGCTGAGAAGGACTACTTCACAGTCCAATTCTTTTGGTCTAACCCATCAATCCTGAACACAAATAACCAGTCATTTCCCCCAAAACAAACTAACTTGCAGATGCTGAGTTAGCAAATTCTGAGTCATTATCCCTACAGGAAATACAGGTTCCTGCTAGCCTCTGGTCATATTTTCATCAGCCACCCCAATACAGAACCTTTTTTTTTTTTTATGTATTCCTACTTAAAGATCCCTATTTTATATTGTTGACTCATTGACATTCACTCATGGCCAATAGCAGTGTAAGTCATGCTGGAATGAAGTTAAATGAAGATAAAACAAGAGCGCAGAAGACCTTGGGTTGGATAGTTGGCTCAAGTGCTGAGCAAGCATGAGGACCTGAGCTCAGATCCCCAGCACTCACGAAGAGGGGGCCAAGGCTGTATGCGGCTTTAATCCCTGCGCTATGGGAGAGAGAGGGGAAGATCCTGCATGCTCACTGGCCAGCTAGCCTATCTTCAACAGCAAGCTCCAGGTTCAGTATGAGGTCCCAGCTCAAAAGATAAAGAAAAAAAAAGGTAGAGAGTAAGAAAGGGAAGGAACCCATTTTAGCCTCTGGTGTATGTGCACACACACACATTAAGTAAGTAACTTTCTTAAAAGAATGGTTCATAACTTGAGCTGCTTCATAAGATTCACATTGCTATTCAGTATATGTGCATCTTCAAATGACCCTAAATCATTTTTAGTATTGATCTGGAGATAAAAATAAATTTTATGAAGAAGGCAGATTCATAAATACAGAACTGGCAAGAAATAAGGCTTAAATGTATAATGATGTGTCACTACCAAAGACCTATAACCAGCTTAAAAAATTCCAAGCAACAGCAATATTTAAATTACCTGCCCACATGGTATGCCTGTGCTATGGTATTTGTTTAAATGTTTTTATGTTTAAAGCAAGGGTGCCACCCTTTACTCCAGAAACCCTCCACACAGCTTGGTTCTGCCTTGAGTCCAGCTGGAGGTTGTGCGGCTATGGCCCTGAAGGAGGGTAGGCTCCTAATCCACACTTGTCTCCAGAAATCAGCTCACTTATTACTATATAAATGCATGCCTTTTCCACTAGGCTGGAATCTCCCAGAGGGATCTCCCTCCCTTCTCCTTCCGGCTTTCTCTACCAGAACAAGACCTTTACATAACAC